CTGGACTTAACGTCACGAAGAATGGTTGCATCATTACAGTAGAGGAAGCCACACCAATCCAACGATTTACCATAGTTATTTATTAAGTCGTTATCATCCCAGTCGTAATTTAGGTAAGTTCGAACTGTGAGTCCAGCATCTCGCGCAGCCGCTGTAGTGCAGGGCGGCGACTACAGTAGAATGTAGCTCTGTTGTCGTCGGTGGGGGGGGGGGGTGGTCGACGTAGGCTTTGCGCAGGCGGTTCTTCTCGGCGAGCAGGTTGCTGATGGCGGCGACGTCGTTGTCGTCAAACCAGTCTCGTTGCTGGCGTCCTGCGCGACCGAGTACGGCCAGCTTTGTCTACTGGATTGTGCACCGCAGTTGATACCATCGCTTGTCCCCGGAGGTGCTCTCGTCAGCGGCGGCAGCGACTGGAAGGTTGTCTAGCCATTGAGCTAGCTCGTTGGTGAAATGAACATGGTGAGCAGACAAAGACAACAAGGAATGGAAGCAAAGAGACGAGTCCCAGGAAGCAGCGTACCTGGGGGTCGCTTGCCTTGAGGCTTCCTGTGAGGCTGTAGGCGAATCCACATCTTCGAAATGATGAGGCGATTGTCGGTCCATCCGTCAGCACACGGAATCGCCTTTGTCACCAGCACGTCCCTCTGGTCTGGCTTCTGGACGTGGACGTAGTTCAGCAGGTGCCACTGACGCGACCAAGGATGCGTCCAGGTTGCCTCCTCTCACATGGGGAGGCGCAAGAGGGTGTTCGTTGGAATGAGGCGGTGTTCTGCGCAGTTTCATAGAGGGAGCAGGCCGTTGTCATTGGAGTCTTTGAGACCATGGGACTTAGCGCTCCTCTCCAGGCAGCATAGTCTGTGCCGACGTCAGCGTTGAAGTCACCAAGGACAATCAATTTATCCGCCTTCGACACGGTCGCCAGGAGGACATGCATTTCCTCGTAGAATTTGTGCCCAGCGGCGTCAGGGCTGGTGGTCGGCGGAGCGTAGGCGCTGATGATGGTGCGAATTTGCCTCCCTGAAGAGGGAGGCGGAGGCTCACCAGCTGTTCCTCAACGCCTCTACTTTGACTATCCCCAAGTTCATGAAAGGAATTGACGTCCGATGATCTCCGATACCGTTCAACCCCTTCCCCCCCCTTCTTGACGGTCGAAAATATACCGCCAGCAGTTTTTTTTCTCCTGAACCCTCCAATCCATAGAACCATCATCAACTATATTTTTATTCTTCAGGAGTTTTTTTTTCACTGCTGGTCGGATTTGTGTTTAATCGCTTCCCTTGACAATGCCTGTAAATTGGCATTTAATTAATTAAATTAAAGACCGTTTATGCCCTGCGGCATACAGGACAGTCCTCCCACGATGTCGTTCTGGATGACAAAGACGACACCCGCGTCCCGTCGCTCTGCCCTGGGGTGGCCACTCCAAAAGAAGGTGAAGCCGGCACCCACCTCCTCCAATTGGCCTTGTTCGGCGAACCGGGTCTCGCCGAGTGCAGCGATGTCCACCTTGTAGTTCGCCAGTTTCCAAGCCACCAACGCCGTCCTCCGTTCCGTCCGGTTGCTTCTCGGATAGTCTAAAAGGGAACAAACATTCCAGGCTGCCAGAGTGAGCGGACTCACCCTACCAGTCTGGCGAGTGGGACGGTGGAAAGAGGGAGAAGGAGAAGAAAAAGGATAAAAAGAATAAGAAAAAGCAGGAAGAGGGAGAGAGAGTGCTGCTGATGTTTATTTGTTGGTTCTTTCGACCGTGAGTTTAACGTCTGCGATCACGGTCAGTCGGCACACGACGTGGTTCCCCAGCATTTGTTTAGAGCCCCTTTTATAGCTCCCTCCACCTCGCAGGGATGGGCATTGCCACCCCAGGTAGGGCTGCTTGGCTATCCGAGACGGCTGCCGAACTCCACTATGGGCCACGGCTTTGGTGTAGTGGAAGAATAACCCAAGTTAGCCTGGAGAGCGTACGACGTCAACATAAGCCTGTGGCCTCCTGCGGTGTACCAGACGGAGGCTCGTCTCGACGATGTCGATGCGAAGTTCCATCCGACCAGCCGACCAGTGGAGTCCATAATACCATGTGCGCAGATGCACACACGGATACCCTCACCTGGTCTAGCCCGCCGGCCGAGGCAATTACGGGGGTGTGACCGCTAGACGAAGCCTGGCTTTGGGGAGCAACCTTCAAGAGTTGGGTGCCAGCAAATGGACGCCAGGCGTAGTCTACACCTGCAAGCAAGTCAGCGACCTACTACGACTGCCTCGTGAACCCACCGCTGCACACTCCTACACGCCGGTCTACTCTTGATACCATATAGAAATGCATGAATTTCTGCAAACGGAAGATATGCAGTTTGTGGCTTGGAAACACTGAGTACTAGTGCAACAGCAGGTCCGGTTCAACATTATTTGGGAATTGGAAAAGTTTTTCACAACCGAATTATATTCTTCCTTCAAGTATAAAATTTTAAAAGGACGTAATTTTCTGCTAAGTGATTAAAATAATGATATTTTATGTATGTTTTCTATGAAAAATATTAAAATTTATTAGGGCATTGTAAATTAATGTGCAAAAATTTGTACCACTTGAGCATTCACTTTACAGAGTGTAGTTTTCGCGGGCGCCAGAGAGAAGTTCATTCAAAAGCCGGTATCCCGGGGTAACTGACATATCATAGGATTATGCTGCACGGTAATTCATACTACAACCTTACTTAAGCAATCTTTTCTAGCCGAATACGTGTTTCAAAATTTTGCCTAACACTAAGTGAGCTGATATATGTACTGTAAGTAGTATGAATTTTTCTCAGTAATTTTCGACGCCCTTTCAAATTCAAAACGCGTTCAAAAGTTTCTGTCAACATTTCATGAGTTAACACATATAGTGGAAGTCCTGGAGATCAAACAATCGTTGTCTTGATAAGGCGTCGATATGTATTTCGTGGGCACTTAGAAATGTACTGGAGCAGAGAATCAAGGGGATGATTTCGCGATGAGGAACTTCAATTACCTGCGGTTTGAACTTTTTAAAATCATGTCGGATATTTTTAAGGCGGCTGCTGCGCTATGGGCGTGCTGGTACGTGGATGCACCTGTGTAAACTGGGGTACTCGTCTGGATGTTTCAGCTTGCGTCTGGATTCTGCGATATCAATCAAACTTTCTTCTCAGTGATGTATGAAGTTCGGACCCTTAGTCCATCCTAGAAAAATTGAAGCATGCAACAAGCAGAAAAAAGTCTTAACATCATTTCATGAGGATTTTTATGAACAGATAGGCTCATGATGTCACTTTCCATTTTTCTTACTCCCGTGGCCTTAAATTTTATATCACAGGCGCAACAAGTCCACTCATTCTGGTCAAAGTATTCTCGTCTATAGAAGTAGATTTTATTTTATCCCATTGCGAGCGCTCAACTCAATATCTTAAAGAAAGAAATCCTTTGATCTGCCGAGTCGAAACCCCAATGAATCGCAGAGTTTATCTCTCATCGGCAAATAAATATCCGTCCAAGAATTCTACTCATCTGCAATTTGCTTCTGAGGTGGATCCTTCATTTTCCCGTATCTGAGGCTGAACGAAATCAATCGAAATGGGTTTATCAGTCGACGCCGCGTACATTAAATTTGGAAAGGGTTCTGACAGTGTTCCACACAGACGACTTACATTCAAACTACGTCAAGTGGGTGTGAATTGCAATCTGCTGAAATGGCTAGCCGATTTTCTCACGGGCAGATCTCAGCGGGTCTGTATCGAAAACGCTATATCGGAATGGGCACCTGTCCAGAGTGGCGTTCCGCAGAGAAAAATTCTGGGTCTAATTCTGTTTTTAATATATGTGAACGACTGCTTGGACTGTCTGAACTGCTAACGCATAATGTTTGCCGATGATCTCAAATTGTGAAAATCAACAGAGAAGCCGGAAGACTCTGTACAGTTACAAGACAATCCGAAGCACTTGCAAAAATGGTGTAATGAATGGTATCTTAACCTCAACCCTGACAAATGCCAACTTATTCGATTACCGACCTACAAAAAAGGAGTCCGTTGAGATTTGAATCTCACTACTCTATAGGAGGTCACTAACTCGAATCCATGAACGAGTTGAGAGACCTCGGTGTGTGGATGACGCCAGCTCTCGAACCATCGTTCCGCTGCGCCAAGGTATCAAAGAACGCCATGGTTCCTGTCCGCCAGTCCTGCCCGTATTTTTCTGTTTCTATCTTTTTCGAGGGGTTTTTTTCTCCTGTAAAATTAATCCAGTAATTTTTAAATTTTGATGTGGAGTTTTTTTTCAACCCTCGCTTATCATTTTTCTTAACGGACTTCTAATTCAAAAACTACGCATTACACTTTGTACGGATTTTGCCTACCTCGTCTAAAATTCGTATGTAAATTTATTTTTACTTGCTTTGATGGGACCCCCACGGGTCATTAATAAAAATACTAATTATTATTATTATGAGTATCCTAGGCACGATTAGAAGATCCTTCCTCAATTTTGGCGAAGAACTTCTCGGCCGAGTATTTGGAACATTTGCTCGGCCAAAGTTGGAATATTGCGTTCAGGCTCGGTGTCCCTGGACGAAGCAAGATCGCACTCTATTGGAGAACGTACAGAGGAGAGTGACCAAAGTGGTTGGTGGATCAAGTTGCTTCCCTTGTGAGGGACGCCTGGAAAAGCTAAAAATATTTCCACTCTCTTATAGAAAATACAGAAGGATATGATAATGGCCTTCAGGATCGTCCGAGGACTAGATTGGGCTCTTCACTTTGGCGATTTCTTTGAACTGGCGCGAACGACCAACCTTCGTGGCCACCAATACAAAGTAAAGATAAAATATGCCAAACTTGAAGTGCGGGCCAAGTTCTTCTTGCACCGGTTGGTTGAAGAATGGAACAAATTGCCGAACTCCGTTGTCTTGGAGGAAAACGTGGAGACCTTCAAAAAGACTTGATAAATTTATGCCTGACGGTCAAATATTTACTTGACATCAATGCCTGACATAACTTTTACATAAATACGCGCATACTTTTCATCCGCCTACCTGTAAATAGGATTTTTCAAGGTTTCGCCTATATCCCTTACTGAATTATACTAAAACAAATACTAGGGAATTTTCAGGGTAAGTTATGGTTAACAACATGGTCTAGCTGTTTGGTAGGTCACGTTTCGCTTTCCAGATGCAGGTTGCTTTCATGTGCAATAAGGTCAGCGTTGTGCGTGTCTGAACAGGTATTTGGAATCCTGTTTAGGGGTCGACAGATTGACCGCTATCAAGGAGGTGTTTTGTGATAGAAGAAAGGAAGATTTGTTTACCCCATTTAATTCTTCTATGTCGTTTTCAAGTTACCATTTTCATTAATTAGACCTGTCACTTTCATCAAGAAAGCGGCTTTCAGCGTCCATTAGATTTGTCATATTTTCTAGAGAACTAAGACCATTTTCGAAAAAATGTTTTACTAAGTGGTCAAGTCTGGGAAAACCCCAGTTTAAATGTCGCAGACATTTTCCTAAATTGATTCGGCGATTGACTGAATATATGCGCCACTCACCGGTGTTTAAATTTTTTCGACATCAGCCACATAAAGGTTTCTCGTTTAAATAAATTACAGAATACGAAGGAATATTTAAGGAATTTCCACGTAGGCCGATTTCATCGAATTCTTTTTCGGCGCCCTCATAAGTTCAAAAGAACCAAATGTTATGATTGCAGCTCTCTGCAAGTATTAAGCGGCCATGTTTCTATACATTTCAATTCCGACGTTCAGTCCAGTAAAGCACCCGAATATTAACAATACCTGGGGTACGGCGATACGTAAGCGTTCGAGGTGTAGTAAACCAGGATGCCGGACCTTAGTAGTTAACAGAGGTTATTTGAAGTGCTGACAAACGTGAAAGCATCTCAGACTATCATCCACCAGGACTTAGGCGCCTTGTATGTTCCGAGAACTTTATAGAGCATATATTATGATGCGAAGACATGATCTCGTGGGTAGGGGGAGATGGAAAAACGTCATAACACGAGTCTGAAGTCACAATCAGTCCTGATGTCCTCCTCAAGGCGATAAGTTGACATCAAAAGTTTGAATCCAAACGAGGGCTCTGTAAATTGTCCTCATCATCATACAGAGAATTCCCCGAAAAGACAAGACAAGAAGTACCGGAACGGCCGTCCGTGTCTTCAGAGCAAGTGTGAGTCGAATGCAGTCAGATCCGAGGGCCGTGTCTCGGAAGATCTCCCTTCTTTTCTCGGCCTATTAAACCAACTACTCCAACCAGACGTTGAAATTTAAGTCCTGAAAGCATTCCAGATCGGAAAAAGGGCAAAGTAGGACAACAACATTGCCACCTCGTCCCCTCAAAAGTACGCCGGAGAACAAAAAAGCAAGTCAAGTTGATTTTGTCCAGAAAAGCCAACTCGAGAAGATCACATAAAGAGGTGTTTTTTTCAACCGCACTACTTTTCGGCGGAGTGGTTGAAATGCCGGTGGCTTGTTGTGAAATAGAATCGAGGTTGAAGGGTGGCGATCGCAAACTGGCTATCGTCGAGGGGAAAGTAGTTTAAAAAATATTCTCTTTCAGTTGACCAATCCAGTAATACTAAGAACATAGCCAGCTACTCAGCTAACGCAGACACCATCGAGGAACAGGTCTCTCGAGGCGACAGCATAAGCAAGCCCTCAACGCCTAGTGTTCTTACTGAGAAGACGGACTTTAATGATAACCATCAAGGAGCGCAGCAGGCCAGTGGAAATGACGTCTGAGACAACGCATAACTGCCTACAACAGTGACAAATGCAGTCGGAAATTTGGTAGGCGCAGAAATGAAATGCTTGTATGCAAATTACCAAAGGTTCATCTCGGAGATTCCTGAGCTAAAACTTTGCCTCACCCAAAACGCCGGATATTATTGCAGTAACCGAACCCTGGTTGTCCGGAAATACTAGTAATAGCCAAATAGCCTTAACTGGATACCAAATGTATCGGAGGGACAAGGGACACCGTCAGGGCAGTGGCATAATTTTGTATGTGAAAGAATCCTGGTGGTGTCGGAAAAGACCGCCGAATTTGCATGCAACATGGAAACTATTTGGTTCACTATCAAGGCTACTGGTTCCCCGCATCTCAATGTCCTCACTACATATCGGCCAACAAGGGCAGAACAAAATGCTGACACTCATCTATTGGAGCAGTTGGACAAATTCTCCAGTTGACCTAATATGATGATCATGGGCGACTTCAGCGAACCAAGAATTGACCAGAATACTGTTCAAGCGTCAGGTCCCAAACTGACATTAACCTATCTTTTGCTGCGCAAAAGTGGAGGTACTCCTCACGCAGCACGTAATGTTTCCAAAAAGAGCACATGAAGGACAAAGGGCTAACTGCCTGGATTTAGTTTTTACCAAGGCATCAGGCAGCATAGATGAGATCGTCTCCAAGCCGCCCCTCGGCCGAAGCGACTATTAAGTGCTTATGCGAGACTATTCGTTCTCTTCCATTTTGCATACTCTTGGTCAAAAAAGGAGTAAGATCTGACAGGGCGACTTCAATCACATGAGGAGAGATATATTCTGTCCCTATTGGAGATTAATGTTTACGGGCAATGTCAATGATGACTGGAAGTTGTTTAAGAACAACCTTCTGCGGTCCATCAACAGCCACTGCCCACTGACGAGCGTAAGAAAGAACAAGTGGCCTGGGTGGTTAAATAGCAGTCTGGGGAATGAAATTAGCATGAAGCATAAATTTGTGAGAAAATGACGTCTCACTGGACAAATTGAGCATCTCAAAAAAATACAAGACACAGAGAAGCATGATTATAAAACTATGCCGGGAATTCGAGAAGAATCTGCTACAAAAAGCAATACAGAGCCCAAAATTATTCCACAGCTACCTCAGAAGAAGTACAGTGAATGCACATCGAATTCCCTCAATAAGGACTACCGATGGTGTTGGGAATGCTGGTAGCAGAGATAAGGCTCTGTATTTTTCATAGTTTTCCAATTATTCAACAAAAAGAAACAAGGTCTCTTCTTCCTTCCACAGAAGACCTGCCGACTACAAGCATAGGTGATAAACTATTTTCAGACGGTCATATATGAAGATAGTTATAGGCACTGAGCGAATCAAAGTCCCCAGGACCAGGCGAAATTTCACCCGAGCTCGTCAAGGAACTTGCCAGCAAGCTGTCTACTTATCTGTCGATACTCTTTCAAACGTCATCTGACACTGGAACACGAAACACTTCCTATGGGTTGAAAACTGGCATATATAAATTTACCATGCAAAGGCGGTAACGGGTAGTCGACGCCAAATTACACGCCTATAAGGTCAACATGAATTCTCGGCAAGGTCATGAAGAGGATCATGAAAAGTGAATTGGTGTAATTCCTGGAAGTTCACGACTTGCTTATCTCCCCAGAGCTGGACCCGAGCTCTCGACGACAGGCACGCGGTCCACATCGCCTTCATCCACTGCCATAAGGCGTTCGCCACCTTGCCACACTATAAACTGTTATACAAGCTGAAAAAATTAGGGATCAGAGATAATTTCCTCAGATGGACTGAAAACTTCTTTGTGGGTCGTACCAGGCTGTATGTATTGGTCAAGAGAAGTCAAATCCTGTTGTGCTCGGAAGTGGTGTTCCCCGGGGTTCAGTACTGGGACCCATTTTGTTCCTAGTGCATTAAAACGATCGCGCAAGAGTTTTGGAAAGCGAAGCAGCAGTATTTGCTGATGAGATGAAAGTATGGAATGTAATCTGGGGCTCTGCCGACAGCGGTAGACTGCAGATGAACCTAGATCGGTTTTAGGATTGATCATACTGTTGGCTCATGCGATACAACGCCGGCAAGTGCACCATACTTCGCCTTGGCAACTCAGTCAGATCCGCCAGCACAAGGAACTTCTTCCTCGACAGCGCAGCTTAACAAGTCCTTGAAGCCCAGAATGACTTCGGTATGCTAACGAAAAGCTCCCTAAAACCACCCGATCATCATTCGAGAGGAGTAAAAGCTCAATGTCCGTACTGTATGCCATCAAGCGGGCATTTGTGAATTTTGACGAAGACGTCTTCTCAAAGATTTTCGTAGCATTCATGCAGTTGCGTTTGCAATATGACATATAAGCCCGGAGACCATGGGCGTTTCAAAATGAAAAATTGTCTCGAAAGAGTCCAGAGGAAAGCCACAAAAATGGCTAGGGGTCAGAGCTCCTTTCCTTATGCAACCTGTCGAGCAAATGTGAACCTCTTAATTTGAGTTATGGGCAATTACGCGGCTTCCTGCAAAACTTCCTCATTATGAAGGGATTGGACTGCAGCCTGGCGTTTGGTCTTTCAGGACACACCTGTGAATGAATGCACCAACATCAGGTATTCAGGTTTAAGCTACAAAAATAGTCTTGATCTCTGGCCCCACGCTGACAGAATTACGGCTAAAGCAGCCCAGATTTGTGGCTTTATTTCTTACAATTTTGTATCTTCCTGATATTAAATTAAGGCTCTATAGTATGCTTGTACTTCCCATTCTCGAGTATTGTTGCCCATTCTTTGGTTTGATGAATGCTAATCGTTTAAAAATTGCGGCTAGTCGTTTAAAAATTAAAAATGTCCAAAGAGGTTTTTCTAAAAAAAACTTATAGGCAGGGAACATTCAAATATCTCCTACTCCGATAGATACCATCTAATTAACCTAAAATTTTTATGGGTTCGAAGACTAGAAGCAGGCTTCTGTCTCCTCTTTCGCATTAAGCAGCTATCAACGGAGCTGCCAAAGCCTCTTTCGAGTCCCTTTTTGTGCTATCAATGAGAACAGGAAGGCTGCCCTCACAGTGGAAGACAGCTAACCTCGTTCCATTGCATAAGGGAGATAGCAGGATGACAGTAAGCAGCTTTAGGCCTATTAGCTTAACTTGCCTCCCTTGCAAAACGATGGAAGCTCTAGTAAATAGCGGTATACAGCAATTTTGTGAAGAAAATAATATCTTGCAGGATTTTCAACATGGCTTTCGGAGAGGACGTTCCTGCCTCTCAAATCTATTAGCTTGTCTGGAGATCTGGACCAGGGCTCTAGAAGAGGGTTTTGAGGTCGATGTCGTACACATTGATTTCCGCAAAGCTTTTGACACTGTCCCGCACCAACGTCTTCTTCACAAATTGAGCGCCATCGGCATCCGGGGAGATCTTCTGAACTGGATTAGGACGTTTCTGGTTGGTCGGAAACAACGTGTCTCTATCGGGGATGATATGTCAGAACGGGTGAACGTGACCAGTGGTGTGCCGCAAGGCTCAGTTCTGGGACCATTGCTCTGCATCCTTTATGTTAACGACAGTCTTCAGGAACTCGACTGCGGCAAAATAGTGTTTGCAGACGATGCTCAGCTCTGGCAAGTCATTAAGGGTCCGAATGATCAGAGATCCCTTCAAGATAATTTGCACCGACTGCAAGCGTGGTCGAAGAAATGGCTTCTAGATTTCAATGTGGAGAAGTGTGCCGTCCTTCATCTGCGTCCAACCAACTGTCATTCAAATGAGAGCCTGAGGACATATCACCTGAAAGATATAAGGATCCCCGCAGAATCTTCACAGAAGGATCTCGGGGTTTGGATGCAGTACAACCTGAAACCAACACTGCAGTGCCACAAGGCTGCAAAAACGTCATGGGAGTGCCGCATGCAATAAAAAGGGCTTTCGTAAACTTTAACCAAGACCTTTTTGGGAGAGTTTACGGCACTTTTGTTCGGCCCCACTTAGAGTATGGCATACAAGCATGGCGGCCATGGCTAGTAAAGGACCAAGCATGCCTTGAACGAGTACATCGGCGTGCAACAAAGCTGGTAAACGGTCTAAAAAGCCAATCCTACACAGACAGACTGAATTGCCTTGATTTATTCCCTCTGTGTTACAAAGAGGTGATCTTATCCTCGTCTACAAAATAATACATGGCCTTGAGCATGGACTTAAATTTGAGGACATGTTTCAGTGGCACCTTTTACCCAATCTTCGTGGTCACTCGATGAAGTTACGGACAACAATGTCTAGGCCGAATCTTCGTTCTGAATTTTTCACGCAGAGGGTAGTGGAGAAATGGAACGATCTCCCTCAGTCAGTCGTGGAGGCTACGTCGCTGAAACTCTTCAAGAAACGCTTGGATGAGTATTTGTGTCCCCTGTTTTCCCTCGACAGTCTGAATCTGAACTAAGACCCCACTTTCACAAATATTTTCTCTGATACAATGCTACTCAAGTGAATCAAGTATTGTTTTAATAGTGAATATTTTTATTGTTCGTGTACAGTTATTTCCAGCGAGCTGACATGTAATCAATAGGGTTTTCAAAGGCTTTGCCTATTATCCTTACCAAATAAACTGAATAAACTGAAAACCTCCGATTTCAGCACTTACATTTAGTGGTCGCCCATACAATCTACGCAACTCTTCCCTGATTATACCTCCTTCCGCTTCCCCTACCTCTAAGTGCTCTCTTATTTTCGCTTCCATGTATACTTTCCTCTGGAATAACCTTCCAATAAATATAAGAACTTCAGATAATCAACACAATTTTAAGAGAAGGCTACGCCTTTTTCTGAATACTGACTCGATTAAACCGTTATTTTTCTCATCCTTCCCGGAAAACTTTATCTATGACACCGAGAAAGGGCCACCGGGCATTTAGTATGCCGCCATTAACTTTCCGTATCCGCTCACATTTCCCTCTTTTGTGTGTAGCATCGCTTCCTGGGATCCCTCGTCAGAAATATTAATTTTTTCGATTTTACAATTCATGCGTCTTGCCTCTCATGCCTCCAGCGACATCCTTCCTAACAAATTCGCCCAAAGAAATAGCTTTGTTTGGCTGGCGTGCACGCTCAAAGCCTCCATACTGTCGCCTGTCACAGACACTCCTCAGAATTCCACGGTGATCCCCGCAATTGCAATCCTTCACCCCCCCATCGTTGAATTTTGCGGTTCTTTAGGTCTTCTCCTCATTTCGATCCCAAGCGGTCTGTCGAGGCTTTTGGCGGAACCCTCTGTATTCGCCATCTGATAGCAGTTTGGTCATATTTGCCTTTCCCCCTCCTTAGCTGGGCTCGAATCGAACTGTGACGGATCGCGTCTGGGTTCCTCTCGTCTCGCCACATTGACCTGAATGAATAAAAAAATTGAAACGGATATCATCAGGACAGGATTCATATGTCGGACGAAGCCAGTCCTGTCTGACCCACATACTTACTCCTTCATGAAATCCGTTACATTCTGCCAAACAAAGGCCGGTCCTGTCCGCTTTTTATCCTTTCATGAGCGGCAGTTTTTTCTCCTATAATGTTAATGCAGTCATCTTCATTTCGTTTACTTGTTAGGAGTTTTTTCACTGCTCTCTCATAATTCTTCGTAACAGACTACTTATTCAATAACTATGAATTAAGTATTGTACAGATTCTGTCCACCTGTTCTAAAATTCATGTAAAAAATTAGTTTTACATGCTATTTATGAATTCGCTACCGCGACCAAACTACGAGGTCGCCGTTAAAACTGCGCATTCGGCAGGCAAGGCTGAATATGCGGAAATTTTCCTTCTCTGTTAAAGTGATCAAACCATGGAAGGCCCTCCCCGAACATGTTGTGGTGTCACCATTGATACAAAACTTAAAACGGAACCTTGACATATTTATTTTCCGAAATGAACAAAAGCGATAGAAGAGATCGAACTCAATCCCAAAGACTACCGCTCAATTTGTCATACTGTTATGGATCCATTTGAATTATTTCAATTCATATGTTTTATCTGTGTACCGCAAACAATTTTACGTTGCAAATAGGGTAATCAAAGGTCCACGCCTAAACTGAACGGAACGATAGGACGACTAACCGGACTTGACTTTAAAAATGATTTGCGTAGAATTTTGACCGTCTTCATATTTTCATGGAAATACAATCATAATAATTCGTCCTAGTCAGTTTGGGGGAAACCCAACGAAAGTTGCGGTGAAACGCGGTCTACATAAAATCAAGAAGAAACTTATTTAATATCCTTAAAGTCATTCGAATGAGAAACCTTAAGTAGAGTAACTTGGAAGGTACTTTAAGCACCGATTACGTGCGCACATATCCACTAAAAGTAAGAGTCATTTAAAGCCAAAGAATAATGCCTTCGTGATAGTGAAACGACCTTCTATCTATAATTCGTGTACCCTCAGCAGTTTGAACATTTTGGCACAGTAGGCTAGTATAAACGGAGGCGAACTCTGACTGTGGTTATATAGAAGCCTACTGCACCTACATTCTGGGAGAAATGCTGAAGTTAAGATGACATGTAACCTTTCGTAGAGGATACAGCTCGCTAAATAACAGTCCCCTTGTTTGTTCTTTTCGAAATCGAGATAACCTTAAATGGTTAATTGTCAGTCGAAACATTACCACACTTCTAGATTTTCGTTGTTCCAGGCTATGTGTTCTCATGCATTATGAACTGCTCAGGTCATGCAAACCCACTCATGCATCAGACTGGATGTAAGAAAACCTCAGTACCGCGTATAGACCAATTACATTTATATGAAAGGGAATAATTCAAACGAATCTCTGGAACGTAGGTGATGAATACGAAGGGTAGATAGGACAAGACAGCAGTTCCTGCCCAACTAATTTGTTCAAAATTTCCGTCATTCGTCAGAACACAGGAAGTTTGCCTTCCTGTTAAGTATTGCCGAGGTCGACCTGAATTCTTTATCTTTGCACACTTCTGCAAAAAGGCATTAAGATATAAAGAGTACATTTTAACGCTTTTGCTGGAACCTTAGAGCTTGACCTCGGTCAAGGTCAGGACACCACGTAATCAGTTGACATTTTGGCTATCTTGGTGGTCGGTTATCGTACACTCTAGTGTGCGCAACTATTTGTTCATGGGTTGCTACGCGGTTTCCACATTGCTTATTTTGGGTATCGTCGCTTTTACACTTGTGCTAGCAGGCGGTATGCACGAACACTCGCATTCCGGCTTTGCAGATCATGGACACGTGTAAGTAATGTCAGATATACTTTCCAAGCCCATTGTGCTTCTGCAGCCACCTTAGCTTTTGCGTGTATGTTAACCGTTGGCCGGCGTCGGTACTTGAATAATAGATTTGGCTTATAACACATTTGTTACCATCCACTTTTAAAATTGGCATAGCGATTAATCTTATGACTTCGATGTTTGTGTCCATGCACTCTTGCATCAGAAGCCGGGGGTTTATAAATAAACAGTTCGTTTGTGTTTCTTAAAATGTACGCATTTGAAGACACTCTGGTTTGTAACGCCAGAAGGTCTGGTGATTACATAAACTGCACAACTGTAAGCAAACCTTGTAGCTCAAAATAATATTATTTTGAGGAATCATATGATTCCTTAGGTGTACTTCTACGCGAACCAATCTTCCACAGTCTCCTTTTTCGATTAGAGGATATTGTTCCAAGTTACGATGAACGTTAGCCTTTATCTTCCAACTTGCGCCTTCTGAAGTTTCAGTACATGATGCAAGCTAACGTAAACTTGGTCAACACCATATTCATCCGATTCTGCATTCTGACCAACCTAAAACAGCCGCCAAAAGTGTCATTAACACCAGATAAATGGGGTGCTAGATCTTTAGAACTGCCAACATCTTATGCCGTAATGCATGCCTTTGTGGACTATAAAGATTGACGAATTTTCGAAAGTCAAAATGGCTACATTAGTAGCACAGTATTAAAGTAAGACCGCCGTACACGATATCAGCTCCGAAAACCCGTTTTGCCTAATCTTATTCGAATTGATGGTATCAAATACCGTATCACGATCTTATTTCGTTTTGGCATCTGTGCCTTCCTGTAAACATCTTTTTGTTGACTGATATTTTCTTTAAGATAAAGTCGGTTTTTTCTGTCTGACATGAAAAGTTACTCAAAGTTATCTTCCCATTGCACTGCACACAGCCACGGCGCGTCCCATGACGATCATTCTCACAGCCATAGCCACGAACCGAGTCACAGCCACGTACTCAGCGGTGCCAGCGACCACTTGTCCCCCGAGCAAATTTGGAGAGATACGATCGGATCAGTTTTGGCCATTAGCGTTCTCCCTGCCATTGCATTGTGGGCCATTCCGGACCTAAATAAGCGTCCAAATCTCTTGAAGGTTCTTCTTGGGTTTGCTGCGGGCGGTCTTCTAGGTGATGCCTTCCTTCATCTTATTCCCCACGCGCTTACACCCCACTCACATTCCGATGATGTTGAGACACGCGAGCATGGGAAAGAGCACGGCCATGCTCATTTGTCCGAGCATACTACTGTGCCGCTCTGGGTTATTGGCGGGATATTTGGCTTTCTCTGCATAGACAAACTTCTCCGGTTCCTAAACTCTGGAGGTCACCACAAACACTCTCACACTATGGACGTACATGCCAAGTCATCTGGAGTTAAAGATGCGGTTCATATTGATACCACAAAACAGAAGAGTATCTCTGGCGATGAAAAAGGCAAGAAAAAGAAGAAGTCGAATGGATCCAAGAAAGATGGGCAGGCCGGCGACAACGAGAAGAAAACATCTACGAAGAATAAACCAGCGACTGAGTTAAAAGATCACAAGGAAGAGCGCCAGAACAACACTGCCAAACAGTCTAAGAAGAAGAAAGAGCGTTCAGGTAAGTTGTTATGGAGATAACCTCTGGAATTCCAAGATTGCTGTTTTTTGGGACATCAGTCCATCCTCTCTACAATTGGTGCAGGTTAAAAGATCTTTTGTTTTTTTACCCCAAGTTTGTTCGTTCAGTTGACCACGTCCTGGAAAACTACACGTCCCAGGTCTAGTCTACCACTTTGCCGGATTGCACATCTTACATTGAATGAATCAGAAAGGTCCAATGCGGACCGTAGCGAACCAGTCGCCTTTCGTTCGCCAGCAGACTTTGCAGAGTACCGCAAAGTCCTCTTATAGACATGCATAATTTCGTAAAGTTTTTCCGACAAGGATTAGGAACACTGTAGCGGTTGTTTTTTTATTTATTTGTCGTAATCAACTAGTGATACCTCAGTACCAGATGCTGGCGCATCCGGAGTTGTAACAACCCAACTCCTGTAGTTTGTCAAACATCTCGATCGGACGTGTGATCCCCTTTAGTTAACGGGGCTCGCTCATTATGAAGGGCTACGATGTGGTAAGAATGTAGTGGAGTCAGGTGTTCCGGTTTGGTGAGTCTCACTTTCCATTCTAGACTAGACCCGACAAGACTATGTGAAAAAAATCTACTTTTTTGACTTGGCCACAGTATTTTTTTACATGTCAGGGAACTGTCACGTTAATACGAGTATTTGCAGTGCCCTCGTGTCACCCATGAACCTTCGAAGTTGGTATTCCATCCATTCCATGGTTAAGAATAGTATCCACAGCGCATTTGTCTAGTTAGTATTCCGGTATGGAGCCGGAACCTAGGCACGAAGAGTTGGGACCCTCCGTCCACCAGCGTGTGACCACATAAACTGGCACCTTTCTCACCTACAGCCGTATTCACGCTTAATAAGGGAACGTTTACCTACGTAGGTTGAGTCTGTCCGAATGGTGCCTACCACAACTGCGCTGTTCGCCCCAACAAGTTTCCTAACCGCTTCACACGTATGCGACAAAAACATCTGTTTCGCATCACCTCTTAGTCAAAATAGCACAAAATATATTGCGTGATCGGGAAATTAGAGGCCCTTTGCTATCGGGTCGAATTCTTTTTGAACCTCAAACATGCAGTTCATGAATTCTTGGGCCCTCTCCTGCGGTCAGGTGACATGCACCTAAGAGACGTGGGCGGAGACCGGTCGTCGAGATGTTGTTGAAATGAAATATTTGCTTTTCCGTACAGCCGTTCTCATAACGATTTCTCAGTCATATTATGTTGTCTTTTTGTCTTTTGCTCCCTTTATGGATGTAGGCCTTCTAGCGGCGGGCTACCTCAATTTGGCGGCTGACTTCACACACAACTTCACGGATGGCATTGCAATTGGTAGGTTCGCTTGAGAAATTGTGTGAAATCGCGGCACTTTTGTTACCGCCTACCCTTTTTGCCACTTCCGTTTCCGTAAATGCCTGTATTTCCTCAGTATGAGCCGTGGGCAAGAGGGAACAACCTTGTCTTGAGACTCGCAAAAGACATATTTTGTAGTCAGTTTGGAACTCGTAGCGTCTACATCCGACTTATGATGCAAAGCAGCGCTTTAGGGCTGAAACCACATCTGACTTTTGTCCCAACGTTAAACGACTATTTGACGGACAGAAGGACACTATTAGAAGTACCACCAGGTCAACTTCATGTGTTCAAGATGCCTTCTAATAAGTATCTAGTACAAGTGCGAACAAGCTCCTGAATGGCAAGCTGACTGATGTAGAAGTCGCAGACGGTACTACCCTCCTCAGTAATAGTCTTTAGTGCATAAAAACCAAATCCACAATGTACCCGTGTTCGGCTATTTCCACCCTCCCTTTCCCCTACCAGTCGCACCGCTGTTGTATTAGACAAAACTGGGTCCACACTGGCTGATGATACTCACCTGCCTTAGGTCGTGCATGTATGTGGCAGGCGTGGGCCGGCGGCTTTGTGTCCTGCTGGCCATTGAGCCAAATCGTATTCACACCTGGCCTGACTCATACGGGCTGCTGGTACACGATAGAGGGGAAAAGGGGGGTGACTTCGATCCGAGTCGAAGGCAGCGTCTAATTCCTTCACAAACGCGGGTTGGAGGTGTTACGACGCGCTAATAGTCTTGAAATAACTCCTTCCTTGAAATGAGGATCGGCTGACAGTATCTCCTTCCCAACGGGGCTCTCACGACATCTCTCACTTCTGCGAATTTCAAAACTCCTTGCCTACTCCCGACTCACGGGCAGTTTGGTAACAGGTTATTTAGCCTTGCACCGATACCCATCTTTAGTCGTGTTTATCCTGCCCTGCCATCGAGGCGCGGTCGGTGTGGGCGGGGAAGTGAGGTAAATGTTACGAAAGCCTGTCCTACGATAAACAAGTTCATGCACAAGCCATAGCTGCGCCTACTTCGTTGAGTAGCTGTGGACTTCGTCAGTTGTGGTACGGATGATGTTTCCTAGATGATTTTTTGGACTCTTTCTCGTTAGCTTCAGGTTCTTTAAGTCCCAAATTACATCTTTTCAAAGCTTATGCCCGAAGAAGGGGTATCTTCAGGCTTTGAAAAAGCTTTCCGCCGGAAAGGTTTTGAACCCGACCTGTCGTTGCACCTGATTTTTGGATTTGCAACCTACAAACCATGCGGAAAATAATGCATTACTGTGTAGTAAGTGAAGAAGAAGGGTGGTCAAGCACCGGATATTTTGTTTATTGTTCTGAGCTTTCGAACTCATGCTGGAGTCCATCATCAGAGATGGTAGCAGTACCAGAACAAGCGACAGTTGTAGGGTGTGTAAGCCATTCATAGACTGACAGCGCAAGACCGGAGTTGACTACGCAGGGCTCTGTACGTCGACGCCAGGTCAACGAATCGATCGACTGAGTTCTCACCCGAGGTCCAGGCTTCAATTACTTCTCAGCCTGTTTTTTTTCCACAGAATCAGCACTTATTCCGTCTCCCTTTTTTTCCTGTGCATGGAGATGGCCCTTTTACCGCTGCGAACCATAAACTTTGTCCGCTTTCTTCGTCCGCTTTTTTTCTAGCCGGATCTTTCCTCGCCGGTCGCAATATTGGTTGGGTCACCAGCCTGACCGTCCTTATTCACGAATTGCCGCATGAGGTGGGTGACTATGCGATCCTTATTCAGTCGGGATGTGGTGCCTACAAGGTGAGTCCATTGACGGTCATTTACGCTGCTGTCGATTTCCTCTTCATTTATTTCCCATTTTAAACGCCCAATGCGTGCGGGTATCATCTGCTGACACTACCCAAAGTACGTGTGTCCAATTGGTCGATTTGTCAGATCGGCAGGCAGACATCTACTCGCACAAACAGCCCTGCATGATTGTTGTCGGAATAGACTGGAATATCCTCCCGCCGTACTGCATTTGTGAAGTCCGTGGAGGTATTGTTGAACACCACCGTATCTGTCCGTGTTGTCAGATGAGTGCTCTTTCTAGCCAAGCTGAGGGGGGTGTATGTGGGGCACCATAGGTCGGTGATCCGGTTTTCGGGCTATTACTAGCCACCGCATATGTCCTAATCGGCGCTGACGTCACCAAAGTTGACAGAAATGGTAGAGGGATGCTCACGAATAGTTTTTGCGGAACTCACTCGTCCCGTTATGCCTCAGGGCTCTCTCTCGAGTCCAACCGGCAGTCGTACAGCGGTTCATGATATTCGCAGAATAGCATTACCGACAAAGATAAGGGAAGCTGGAACAGCCATTTCTGGCTCATTAGCCGTCGTCAGCCAGCCATACCCAACCCCGAACACCTGGGGCCCGATCCCGCGACCTGTTGGTTAGAAGTCAGTGAGCGCCTCTCTACCACTGTATATTCCCGATCTCAGCGGACAAGACAACGAGCCCTTGGCTCAGTGGTTAGAGGTGTTAGAGCCCCAGGTGTTCCACACTTCAAGGTAGAGTATGACTGATTGACGACGGCTAATAAGCCGGAATAAGTCTCCCTTGTCTTTGTCGTTAGTGTTGGCATAAATTATAAGGGGCACGGTCCTGGGGTTATCGGTAGCCTCAGTGGTCTTCTTCCCGACCGACTTTGAAGTTGCACATTTTGGAGTATGCTTTTCTTGGTCCACAACAAACACATCTGCCAACAGTTCGTCGATCGTGTTCGGCAAGAACCATCTTCTCTGAGTAGAATGATTAGTTCGGGGGTGTATTACGAGATATAGAATTTACTCAGCGGCGCTTTTTCTCTCATGTTCTGGTCATAGCGATGAGGCAAGACGATGAGTGCTGCTGACAAAGACTGGAAACGCTGAAGCGGCCTTGTTCTAGCCTGCCAGTAATAAATCAGTTCCTGTCGCTTACGAGGTTTGAGCAAGATTCCATTGGGTCTTCATTCATTATACCTCCTTCCAACGTTCTCTCCTTATGATCCAGCCTCTGTCGGCTCCATTTACGAACCTGCAGTGATCTGTTCTGATTGTAAGACGAAAGTAGGCATTTCTGCTTCACCGTTGACCACCGAGTTTAGAACCCATACAGTTAGTTGCATAACAACGAGCAACTAATCGTTAAGAAGTCGCTAACAGAGATTGGGGATACTGAAATGACAATTTCTGACTTATTAGTCTAATCAGGCAGTAACTGGGTGGTCTTTCTATCCGCAGAAACTTCTCTTGAAGCCACATTGGGAGGGGGGGGGCAGAGGTGTTCGTCGTTTGCTTGTGGATCAGAACTGCCCCGCCAGTTCACGCCTTTTAGGCACCCTGGTAGTTGAAATTAGCGTCGTTTGAATTATGTTGAGTAAAGTTGTCGCCTGATTGGCCGTATTTATTCACGATCTTGTTACGTCTCATTGACAAAACGCCACTTGATGCCGTTGGACGCAGCTGCCGATCGAGTACTTTTCCGATCTACGCATAAAACGTGCCGCCATTTCCACTGCTCTACGGTATAGACTCTGTCTTACATCACATGTGCTATCCACTTTCGTAGTTAACGAAAATATCCACCACCGACTTGATGATGAAACGTGGGGCCTGTAGACGAAACGGGTTACAATGTCTACGGAATTACCCAGTTTGCAATGACCGCCTCGAGCCTCTCCACACTAGTCTTGACCGGTACTGCCAGACTATCACTGTGCTTCGGCCTGCGAGGGTTCTAGATCTGAAACCCACGGCAAAATGGTGTCTCTGTCTGCTTGGCTTTATTCTGTTCCGCTACTCAAAACGATGCATTTCATTTCTGCTCGCTTTCCTAGGCAAGGCTTCTGGCTCATTAGCCATCGTCAGCCAGTCATACCCAACCCTAGTGTGTTTAATACCTGGGGCTTGATCCCGCGACCTGTTGGTTCGAAGTCGGTGAGCGCCTCTTTACCATTGTATATTCCCGATCGCAACCGACAAGACAACGAGCCGGTGGCCGAGTGGTTAGAGGCGTTGGACTTCTAACGAACAGGTCGCGAGTTCGAGCCCCAGGTGTTCCACACTTCGGGATTGGGTGTGACTGGCTGACGACGGCTAATAAGCCAGAAACGACCATTCCGGTCCCCCTCGTCTTTGTCGGTAATACCATTCTGCGTTAGACCGACTCGAGCTTGCTTGTCTCTCACGACCAGTCTTGGCCGGCACTGCCAGACTATCGCTGTGTTTCGGTCTGCAAGGGTTCTAGATCTGAAACCCGCAGCAAAATGGTGTTCCTGCGTGCTTGGCTTTGTTCTGTTCCACTACTCAAAACGATGCACCTCATTTCTGTCCGCTTTTCTAGGCAATGCTTCTGCAGTTGGTCACTGCCATCGGAGCTCTGCTGGGTGCCTCCTTGAGCCTCATCATGGCAGGAGTCGGCGTAGACACTAGCCTGTTTGGTTTCGGACCCACCGTCTTCTCGCCCGAACTCTTTGCTACTCGGCTGCTTCCGCTGACTGCGGGCGGTTTCATCTACATCGCCCTGGCCTCTGTGATACCGGAACTTCTGAATTCAAACGGTGACTCCGCTGTTCACGCCAAACCCAACATATCAAGCCGTTTCGCGCAGTCCTGTGCCGAGTTGGGTGCTCTGTTTCTCGGTGTTTTCCTGATGGTTGTAATCACAGTCTTTGAATGAAGCACACGCACTTCGAAACCGGTCGTTTTTGCTTACTTTTGATGTATTTCCTGCTCTACTGACTATTCATAAAGATTTTTGGCTGGTTAACTCGGATCTCGAGCATTTTTGTGCATTATTTTGCGGCCTCAGAGCCCTTCCCCTCACCCCCTCCACCTTGTCTTCCTACGTTTGTTGTTCTGGACCGTCTGTTAAAAATGCTTCCAGTGAGGCGGGATTATCTCCAACCCGGTTCTTTGCTAATGTTAGATTTTGTACTCCCTCCTCCGGTTGTATTTCAAAAGGTACAAAAATCCCATTCAGCAAGTCTTGTTTCCTCCCTGTGGCTGAACTCTTGACCGGTTGTGATCGTCTGTAAGCCTGAGATCCAGGGGAAGGGGAAACTGGGCATGGTCTCATTCCGTAGACGCTCTCTTGACTTCGAACGACGTTGCTGTCGGGCCCTGGTTGGAGTGATGCCGAACTTGCCAGTCGTGTGGTTATCGGACAACTATGAACCTGCGAGGTCGCCTCTGTCGACGTCGCCGTAGCAGAACCGAGAGACGACCGTTGTACAAAGTCAATTCTGAGGACCAAAGTTTCTTGAAGAAGGAGACACAATCGCTGGGACAAGAGCTTTATTAGCCTGACGTTTCGGATTCCTGCTCGAACCTATCAGCAGAGACAATAGCAGGTACGCGTAGTTCAAGCACAAGAGGCTGCAGCATTTTTAGAATGCTGCCGCATACCTATGAGAATTCACGACTCCCCCCCTTCATCAGGGATTGTTGCACCCAGTATGATGACTGATGGCCGACCTTTGCGTCGTTAATCGCTACAGTTCCATCACGGGTGTTGGATGTTGGTGTGGTGATTGGTCGACCATCTGACTCGCCGACCCTGGCGTTGGGAACAGTGTTCACCTGTGCGCTCCCCGCGCGACTAATTCCGAATCCCACCCGGCAACTGGTGTTCCATGCCACCATGGGGACGGAGAAATGGAGACCAAAGTCTTATGAAACCTGTGTTGGCTTTTCAGCCCATGAGGAAAATAAACATGCTACAGTTCGACCATTGCAGGCAACGGCACCCACCCTATGTCCCACGGGGGGGGGGGGCTTACCACCGGTGACTTGCGTGTGAATTAGTTTGCAGTGGGGTAGACTTGCGCAGTACCTACTGCACTCTCGCCCTCTTTCCGCACCCACTCCGGTAGTAAAACGCGTTCAGGACGAACGGAGGTGGACGTGGGCACAGTGACCGACAAAGCTAGACGACGCGTCTACGCGTGCCATACACACGACTGTGTTCCCGCTACATGTGTGGGCTGTAGTGAGGGCGGTTCGGATGTCGCACGAGGAAGGGTGCTATGAAGGTCAGCTTAAGGAGGAGTCATTGCGACCTGGCTCTCAGTCCCGAGGGGACCGAGCCATTCCGCCGATTGGAAACCTTCCAAGCCACGACTGTTAGTGCGTCGTGATGGATTCGAGCATGTCAGGTTTACTATGATGAGGAATGCGCTGATTTGCCGCGGAGACGGATTCTCCAATGTCGTCCGTCGTCCCGTTTCCATGCACAAGTCGAATCGCCGAGCCCGTAAACCAGTGGGTGGTGGAATTGAGCTTGGCGGCTGATGCGGCGTGATTGCCTATGTCTAGACGCAGAGCCATATGCATATGCACAGTTCGGACTTTGCGCTGCCCCGTAAACACGCGCTGTGAGGCAGGCTGATTCCGTTTTGGTCCAGCGCAGCCCGTTGTGGGGAGGCCCACCGGGCGTCAGCGGACCTGTTGCTTTTCCAGTCGGTGTTTACGCGGATAGGTCGTTCTTCAAACACGACAGTGCTCATAGGGGTAGCAGTGACTTTGATGCAAATTCGGAAAAGACGAGTTCTAGGAAGCAGTTGGGGAGGATAGCCAATCGCTGGAACAAGAACCTCTAGTCACTCGACTTTTCGGATAGGTCGTCAAATCCATCATCAAAAACGGCCTTGAAAACAGTAGAGGTGGGAGAGGAGGGGCCGAAGAACGAACACTTACAATGAGTGACCAATCTCATGAAATGTTGGCTGAAATTCTGAAATGCGTTTCCGATTAGGAAGGATTACTTATGCGCGGTTGTAATACTGATTCTCTTGCGGCATATTTCTATAATGCTTCGGACTTGGCAGGATGTCGGCTTTTGAATGCACTACTTTTCAATCTCCTGTAAAAGCGGTACTAGGTAAAAAAATGACTACTTATGTAGCATGCATTTTTTCCTTTGATTTTCGATGGTCTTACAATTTCAAATATATCTTATAGAAACCATAAACAAAATATGCTTTCTTTCAGTCGTCTGATAGGGAATCAAGTCTTCTTCACCCATTATACGCTAAGAAGGAGTATAATGAGGCTTTGCATTTTTTTCTAATTTCCGAATAATTTGGAGCCCGATCAGTCGTTACATTTGCGCTTAGTGGTTTCAGTATACAAGGTGCATACGTTCCGCTTAAAGAAAATCACGTATTTTTGTATCCCTTAAAAAAGGTACCATACAGAGTCCATAAAGTTTGCAATGGATGTGGACTATGTTGCACATTTCATGAGGAGCTGTGGTAAACGGCCGGGTACGATGCTATGTGAATGGACATTGCGCGGTCTTCAAAAATCTTATAATTAGAAACTTTTTGAAAACCTAATTATAATCCATCCTTGAGTATAACATATAAAGAAGACGTAATTCTCTATCAGACGACTGAAAGAAGGCATATTTTTGTTCGCGGTTTCCATAAGATGTATTTGAATTTGCAAGAACATCAAAATAAATGTGAAAAATACATGCTACTTAAGTAGTCATTTCTGTCGAGTACGGTTTCTACCGGGGATTGGAAGCAATGTATTCAAAAGCTGACATCCTGCCGAGCCCGAAATATTACAGGGTTATGCTGCATGATAATCAGTCTAACAACCCCACTTAAGTAATCCTTCCTAATCGAAAACGCATTTCAGAATTTCAGCCAACATTTCATGAGATCGGTCACTCAATGTAGAGTGGATGTGGGAGCTGTAGGTGTTTGTTGGACTTTAGTCGGCAGGCAGACTCCGTTTTGCTTCAGCGAGGCCAGTTGTGGCGACGCCCGCTGGGCGCCAGAGGACCTTTTGCTTTTCCAGTCGGTGCTTACGTGCGTAGGTCACCCTTCAAACACGACAGTGGATTTGATGCAAATTTGGATAGACCAAAATATACTAGTGCAAGCGAAAAGACAAGTTCTAGGAGGCAGTTAGGGAGGATAGTCAATCGCTGGAACAAGAATTCCTGGTCGCTTGACTTCTCGGATATGCTGTCAAATCTATTATCAAAGGCGGCCTTGAAAACGGTAGGGGGGGGGGGGGAAGGAGGGACTGAAGAACAAACACTTAGAGTGAATAAGCGGGTTGTAGGTGTTTGTGGGGTTTTAGTTGACAAAGAATACCTTTGATTGGTTTTCAGAGTGGATGGCTGTCCGCGCGGTTTCGTCAAACAGGGCATGCTAAGACGAGAAGAGGGACTCTGTTGCATCGACTCTGAATTTCGACAAGCGCACCCGCACGTAAAGAACGCCCCCGGAGACGCTGGCCTTCTCAGACCAGAGGTGCCCATCAAGCGCCACCTAATGAGGCCGAAAGATCCGCCGGGAGGCGCCTAAAGTCGTCTGTCACCTCTGGTGTGGCTGTGGGCCTCACATGAATGTCAGAAAACTGGGATATCACACTAGACGCGGATGGCCGAACATGCAACGACATCCAGCGAGTCCCGACCATACTTTAGGTATCATGTAAGGTTTGTTGAAACCATGCATATAAACGCACTGTTTATGTACTAAGCATAAATATACATATTGTATATCGCTATTGTCTCCCGTAGGCGCTTGAACTTGACCACGGAAGCAGTATAAGGAGCAAATCGCCTTGGGGGCATGAGGAGGGACTTGACTGCGTACGAAAACACAAAGTTAACATTTTAAGTAGCGAAGCACTTTGGTGCAAAATGAGCGAGATGAGATACTGGCTGACGGCAAGTGGAATCTAGTGGTGCTCTCCTTTGCCGAGTCAATCAGTGCCCAGGGTACGTAAACACCAGATCTGGCTTAGTAGCTTCTCGGTTATCCGTTAGTAACGTCCCGTGTATGAAATAAACTGGAAAGACCAACTGAGGACGAATCTACCAGAAGTAAAAAAAGATTCATTTACCGCAGGAATCAGTGAACCAGAAAAAAATCTGCGATATATATATATATGTATATATGACTGAATTAATGTAAAATAAGTCAGAAACAGTACTGTATCCATCTAATCTCATTCTCTGTCGTCCCTTCTCTCTGCCATTATGACTTGGCCGACTTTAGCTTGGTAGTTGGTTGCCTGTTCGTTACCTTTGTCACGGAGCTTGTTTGCCTCGGGAAGCCAATAGATCGATGTACGCCCATTCCTGATTGAATAAATACCCGATCTGCACCTACAGAGAATTACAGGCTGCGAGGCACTGATGAACTTCGGTTTGATGAAGTGCTTATGACGCATCTGGTAGACCCCAGTGGTGAACCAGTTGCGTCAGGTGTGTTTGTACGCATGTTTTTGCTTTTGGTTCTTACCTGTCCCTTCCCACGCCTCCGGTGTACTTGACTCTGTCTTGACACCGGGTCCAGGCGCGGAGTGGGGAGGAGAGAGTGCGGTAGTTGCTGCGCAAGTCTGCTATCACTATAAACTAATTCACGCGCAAGTCATCCTATCTGCTGCATCTTGTTGTGTAGTACACGGCGGACATCGTCGGAACAGACGGTCAAACTGTCTTCGTGCCGTTTCTGGTCCCAGCGGCCTGGTAATTGGTTGCCTGTTCGTGACCGTTGGCACCCATACGGAGCTTGTTTGCTTCGTGAAGCCAATAGATCGGTGTGCGCCCTTTCCTGATTGAATAAATACTCCATCTGCAGCGACAGAGAATGACAGATGGCAAGGCACTGATTAACTTCAGTTCCATGAAGTGCTTATGACCCGCCTGGT